TTAAATATGAAATACTATTGTGATCTACAGTACTTGTTTAATTTTAAGCAATTCGCTGTAGGTATATTTTTCTTCTGTCTTTGCCAATGACCTCTGCTACCATGGATAACAAATAAACGGAGCATGGTCCACACTTTGTCATCGTGAAGGTGGGTTCAAACGTGATTTATTTGAGTTATCATATTATTTGTAGATTACCTATAGGTTAATAGTTAAGCTTAAAATTTGATTATAATTTATAACCATTGTTATTGTTTTGTATTGGTTTGAATCTAATGAAAATCACGTCAAAACAAGAAAGAAACTTTTGCAATATTAAATCGCGACTATAGTTTATTGTTTTATCAATCACGAAATTACAATTGAATTCAATCGATCTAATTGTCTTTATTATTGTGCTGCTTTTGCATTCATTACCTCTTTATAAATGGTTCTCAAACTGTACGAGTGCGTGTTGTTATAGTGTGTACAAAAGACTATACATGGAGGTACACTAAATGTCATGTGGTGGCTGAACGAGAAATTAATAAATTAATATTTTTACTACCTAATATTTGTAACGGATTTAATATTATTTTTTGTATTTTAGRCTCTAAATAAATTGTTAAAGATGTATTCCAATTTTGAATATTTACATTTTCAGTTATTAGTGGTACACGATACATGGCTGGTGTATATGTAATAATGAACATGAGTGGTACGTGAAAAAAAATTGAGAATCTCTTCTGAGCTTTATATTATAATTATTAATTTATATGATATATCAACTGTATTCTGTTTTTGAATCTCACCTGACACACTCCGTCGATACACATGTCCAACGAACCCAGCCTGCACCTGGTGCCGTCTCTCACCCTGGGGGCCATTTCTTCAACTCGACCTTTAGAGTCGACGCACATTAGTGTACAAGGGCTCTCCTCGTCGTAGTAAGGATGCCATTCCACGGTCTCACCGTCGTATGGCTGGTCGTTATATGCCGAACACTGCACCGCTCGGAAATCCAATCCATCCGGACAGGGCTGTGGCGGAAATAATAAATAAATTATGTACAAWTTAATATTAACTTATAATATTTTAATAACCTTTAACAAGAAAAAAATACCGAAATGGTACGACGAAATATTAGCGTAAAATTCTATAGCTGTTAATATTTTAGGGTTGGGATGTTTATGATTTTTTATGTTCTATTGTATATTATATTCTCAGACACAAGTTATGCATTGTTTCATGATGTCTAGGTTGGAATATAAAAATTTTATTTTGCATATTATTCGAAATCCAATATATATATATTAGTATACTCGTATATTTTTCCTTTTTTTCTGGGTTATACCACTTATTATATGGCTTTTGATACAAAATATATCATTTATAAAAAAAGGAAGGTAATTAACTAACATTTAATAGAAGTTTGTATATTATCATTTTATTTACGTAGCTATAGATTATATAAAAAGTAATCTATTATTTATTTTTGGGAATTCTATATTATTGTTTARGGATATACATAAAATGTTCTAAAGAACTTGTCGATTGTAACAATGAATTAGAAATTTGTAGGTCCTAACCGGTGTAAAATGATCACACATTATCTYGCGAAGTTCTAGTTTATTATATTTATCATTTGTTGACATAGTAACTAAATTTATATTTAATATGAAAGCACTTCTAATTGTAATTAATAATTATATTATACATTTTTCAAAACACCTTTTTCGATTTGCATTAAATAACTAAAATGTAAAAAATATTTAGGTATTGCCCTTTTTAAAATTTTTTCATGCATATCAAGCATTTTTTTTATGCATTTAAGTTCACTGACATTTATTCGTTTTTTAGTGCATAAACATCCTAACCGTAGTTGCTATTATTGATGTATTTTGTCTCTGTATTTATGATTCATTTACATATGGAAGATAACCAAGGTATAGCTTTGACTTAATTATTTATTTTATTTTATATACTTAATTAATATTACTTTTATTAGCTACAAGATATTAACGACTATTGTGAATTATTTTGTATTCGTAGTAGTTACACACATGGGATTTATTTCCAAAAAAAAAAAAAAATGCGAACGCCTCGAAAGAACGACGGATTGAAATAGCAATTATTGTTTGCGAGCGTGCGAGAAAAAGGGATGGTTTTGACGTTTGGCGATAGGTTGAAAGCCCGCCCCGGAGAGTCAGCGGGCTTCGTGGAACGAGTCCACTTTAAAATCGCATTCGATCTCGGTTGTCGTCGTCGTCGTCCTTGCGCGTGTTTCCAGACTTCCCCCACCGACGCTACGAAATTTACGACTACCCGTAATGGTGTTTGAAACTAAAGTATATTATTACGTAAATAAATTTGCSAGTATAATATAAAATATTTCTTTTGCACGTTAATCGATATTTAAAAAAAACAATTTGTATACAAAGGAAAAACATTCAGAACAACGGAATATTACATATTAAAATGGAGTGAACGTGTGTATAGGTAATAGGTATATAGGTACCTACACTATATATGTTATAAAAATAATATACATTTTATTATACGTGYCATAATAAAGTATATCGAGTCGTTTCAATCTCAGAACGAATAAGTTCTCKTGCTTATAAATCACGATGTTCAAAACAAAAGTAAAATAAGTTGGTTCGTTTACACGTTTTTCGTTACAGTGTAGCAGTTTGTGTACAACAAAATTAGTTTTTCGACTTTATTGAATGTAAGTTGATTTTCAGTTTTTTTTTTTTTAAATATATTTTTGAACGAAATTCAATTTTTATCATGTTACAGTACAAAATGATTTTAACCTGTAGTATACAATGTGCAGCATAATACTATAATAATGACAATAATGTCATCAGTCACTATAATGATAATAAATGATCAACTGTAATTATGTATAGGTTATGAGGTATTGTGTAAATTATAATATAAATTTGGTTGGTATTATGACGGATAGTGGTAAAATAATTGATATTTGTGAAAAAATTGTTGTGTATAATAATAATACCGAAGGACGGAGGTAGGTAGATGTTTTAACAATGTTTTAAATATGATGAATATATATATTTATATTTATGTAAAAATATTTACAATTAGATATAATAAAGTATAATATATCAATCGATTTTATGATTGGAAATATATGAGAACTAAAAGACACAAAGTTGAAAGTTGAAAATGTTTTGCCTTTAGGTATCTACATGATACTAATAACAGAGGGTTAATATAATATTAAAACAATTTCAGTRAATTATACATGACTGTTTCAATGAGTTATATGTGTATGCGAGCTGAAGATGAATGATGATGACGACTTAAGACGTACTTTAAATTCGAACTTTTTAGTTATATAATTTATCAAAATTCATGAGCAAAACAACAAGAAAATCTTTATTTTACACTATTTCACACCATTAAAACAAAACTTTATATTATATACCAGACAAGTTTCTTATTAATGCTGGTTTTCTTTTTTACATCGTAAAACCATCTCGAATAATGCGTATTATAATATTTGTACGCTTTATACTCAATTTGTAAAAACACGCGCTATAGGTCTACAAAATGGCAATGGCTATTCAAATACTATRAAAAATGTCGAAAGATTATGATAAAAACAAAAACAAAACCATCCAAAGTGATGTTTTATGTAATGAATGGTGTGATTACTGCATTCAATTGTAAATCTAGACAAATTTTATAAGTAACGAAAAGAAATAAAATCCGATTTATTACACAATMATTTTCATTAAAAATGAATAAATCCAGTATATTAAATGTATCAAGCTCTCTGCAGTCTAGACTCTAGGCACTTGTATTATCAATAATTCAGCCATAATTTGTCTGTCAAATAATAAATAATTTATGAAAATTTCAAAAATAATTGTAGTAGGTCTTGTCCGTACAACAATAGTAATAATATTGTCTTCAGAAATGTTGTGATTTATTTACAATTAAGTTTTATTGGGACTAAAACAAAATAAATATTCTTCATTAATACTTTTTTTAAGACCAAGTAAACCTAACACTGTTCCGCTAATAGTTAAATATCGTCAACTATATTATTAATTTTTTAGGTCAGGTCATATAAAGTATATTTTATTAATTATTAATAAACCTACCATAATATGCTAATTACGTGTATCATGATATACGAATGTAGAAACATTTTAKTAAATAAAAATCAAATTTACATAAATGTTCAGCTGACGCTACATACGCTTGAATTATCTCCGTCTTACAAACGCATAACATTGTAGAAAATATTTTTAAAAAAAAGTCTAATATCAGAGCAAGTTGACCTTTCATTAAATTTAAAAAAAAATAAGTATCATGTGAATATCGTAAGCTTATTTTTGKATTTTGGTTTTAAAAGTGTGTTATGATTATTTTTAAATTGTAAATTGTCTTTAAATTATAAAATACTCAATATTACAAAATATAGAAACTTATCAGTCACTGGATAATATACTTACATGGTTATACATTTAATAATAGGTCATGGTTTTTTTTTTATCTTACGGTGATATTGATTCGATTAACGTTGACTATTTTCTAAGTAGGGTCTCCAAACGGAAAATTTGTTTGGGCAACATTGATTTTTCTGATAATATATGGAAGCATATCACTCAAAATAAAAATCAAACTATTAAGTTAATATGTTGGAAATATATCGGCTTAACTGTCTATATTCGAGCGTTAAATATAATTTACTACACATAAGTCACAATTTCATTCTTCACAGGTAATAAATCCAGGCCCGGAGCTTAAAACAAATGATTTGATTCAAATAACAACGAATGATCTACCTGCATCTGCCGATTATCATTTGAAATTAATATCGTGCATTACACACACCAAGGGTTTCAGAACCCTATAAAAAATGAYGTACAAAACATATTTGTGCATATTTCCGAGGAAATGGATGCCAAAATTACACCGAGCCAAACGCGTAATGAACGACAACGACCCGGAACACCTATATAGGTACATAGTATTAAATTATTTAAAT